CTGGATTTCCGGGCTGTCCGTTGGGTCCAGGTGGTCCTGCAGGTCCGGGAGGTCCAGCAGGTCCAGGAGCTCCGGGGGTGGCTGGAATGGAATTGGCGGGCTGTCCAGGCTGTCCTGGGGATCCTGGGCTTCCAGGGTTTCCGCTTTGTCCTGGTGGTCCCTTTGGTCCGGGTGTTCCTGGTCCTCCTGGGTTTCCGGGTCCTCCTGGGTTTCCGTCGCGTCCAGGATCTCCGGGCTGTCCAGGGGCTCCTGGTGGTCCAGGTGGTCCAGCTGGGCAAGGGTTGCATGGAGCAGGTGTGTACACGGGGCATGGTTGAGTAGTTTGTCTTCCTGGGTTTCCTGGGGCTCCAGGAGCTCCGGGGTTTCCTGGTCGTCCAGGGTTTCCTGGCTGTCCAGCTGGTCCGGCACCTCCACCGGAGCAGCAAGCGGTACAGTCGTTTCCGCCGCCACGATAGCCGCCGGTGTTTCCAGTGTTGCCACCTCCTATCACACCACTATCGCCAGAATCGTATCCAGCCTGACGGGCGGTACGATTGCCAGTGGTCTTCATGGTGTTAACCTCGGACCATATATCACGGGCCGACGTCTGAACGGTAATCAGTCATTTGAACAATTTGAAAATTTTATCAAATTTGAGAACTGGAAGAACACGGCTCTGAAGAAACATACCCGGCAATAGTTGAGCTCAGAGTGCATCGTACGGCGTACATGGTGTACATAATTGTACACCATGGGGAGGGTGGTGGCAGCACCAATAATGGCGACCACCGAGAAGGCAACAGCCGAATAGGCCACAAAGCGGTAGGCTTTGCATCGATGCTGGTACTCAACGTCCATGTCGGCTGTCGGTGTTCGTCTTTGGAATTCTACGGCTTTTATAGGCGCGTCTGTTAGCGCATAACCTTGCCAATGAAAACCAATTCAGTTTTCGCCGCCTGCGGTTTCGCCCCTTTTCTCTCCATGAAGGGAAGACAATAATTCCCTAACGAGATTTTGCCTTCAGTTTGAATAGCTGTGGAATGTCTATGCAATAGCCTTGTCACCATTACTGCATATGTAAACGGTGTGACTTCTAGTTCATTGCTCAGGTCATTCGGCTCACCTGTGATGCGGCTGTAAGTGTTATAGCTCACATGAACATTTCAAAGTAGTATGAAAAGATCTCTTCCAGAACCCCTCACGTCCAGCTCCGAAGTGCACCCATGGGGACCATTTTTTTTATCAAAAAGATACTTATTTAATTGAGGCCTTTATTCAACAGGAGTAGTTCTTAATTGATCGGGAGTATTGGATAACAGTAACAAGTACGACTGATCAGCAAACATTGTGACACGCCCAAAGTGGCTTAGTGAATGCAATTTGGCCTCTACAATGACTCGCGGGGCCTGCCGGAGTACAAGTCAGTGTTGTTGTCCTCCCAGACGGATCTGAAACCCGTCCCCGGAGGGCAGAGGGGCTGCTACAGAGCATACAGTTCATAATCCAGGTCGAACGCTACGCTTTGTACTTTTTGTTCATAAAAAAGATTTCTGAGAGCATTTTACCCTCACTGTTTGTCGGTATCAT